TAGGTCTTTTATGCACTTTGAGTTTATATTGTTTTTATAATGTAAGAAAGTCCAGTTTCTTTTCTTTTTCTTTTCTTTTTTTTTTTTTTTTGCCTTTTTTTTTCTTTCTTTTCTTTCTATTTTCTTCTTTCTTTCTTTTGTATATAGCTGTCTAGTTTTCCCAAAACCATTTGTTGAAGAGACTCTCATTTTCCCATTGTTTATTCTTGCCTCTTTTGTCATAGATTAATTGACCATATAAGTATGGATTTGTTTCTGGCCTTTCTGTTCCATTTTATTGAGCTGTGTCTATTTTTGTGCCAGTACCATCCTGTTTTGATTACTGTAGATCTGCAGAATGGCTTGAAATCTGGGATTGTGATAACACCAGCTCATTCTTCCTTCTCAAGTTTGCTTTTTGGCTATTTGAGATAGTTTTGGCTATTTGAGATCTTTTGTGATATCATATATATTTGTGGATGATTTGTTTTAGTTCTATAAAAAATGCTCTTGGTATTTTGATAGGGATTGTATTGAATCTGTAGATTGAGTAATATCATTTTAACAATATTGGTTCTTCCAATCCATGAGCATGGTATATCTTTCCATTTCTTTGTGTCATGATCAATTTCTTTTATAACTGTTATATAGTTTTCAGAGTAGAGATATTTTACCTCCATAGTTCAAATACTTTTTATTCATGCGAAAGAGGCTTTGATTTGTATCATCAAGTCTAGTGAGAGACTAAAAGCTATTTGTATATAGACACAGTGTCTTGGGAATTTGTGCATACTTTATAGTGTATAATAATAATGTGTACATAGTAGGATTTTAATAATTTTATTTGAAAAAAATTGAATGAAGTAGTAATGAGAGCTAATAAATATTAAGTATACAGTTAATAAACAAAGTATATGAGTACCAGCACTGTTCTAGATACAAATTAATCTATTTAATCTTATGATGGTATTACTTACATCCCTCAGTTAGAGAGAGGGGCCAAGAGGGGCTAAATAACTTGCTCAAGGTCACACCACTACTAAGTGTTGAGTCAGGATCTGAACCCCGTCAGACTGTCTCCAGAGCTGGTATTTTTATTTTCAACACTAAATGACTTACTTGTAATTGTTTCAGCAGTAATTGCGATGATCTGTATTTAACTGAAGAATGGATTCCTTCTAAAGTTAATATTGAAAGCTCATTCCAGTACATTGTCCTGGCCTTTTCACTGTTAAAAAGTTCTTTGGTGCTTATTTGAAACAGATGCAAACACTTAAAACATCCATTCACATTGTATTTCCCTGTGATTTGCTAGAAAATGTCAGTTTGCCTCCAGGAGACCGATTTCTAAATGACTGATTTCATTCACCTTGCTACTCCTTTACAGACTTGCAACTTCATGAATCTGTTAAAGCATGGTTGACCAGAGGTTTATTAGCTGTTCTTGCCATTATCCTATCACTTTCTGTTGTAGAAAGCTCAAGGACAGCCAGGAGAAGAAGCTGGGTGGGTTTTTCAAAGCACAGTTTCTTCAAACAAGTCTTTGGCAAGAGATGGTGATGGGCTAATGGTAGTGCAAAATTTATTCTCACATACTTTTAACTCTAGGAGTTAAAAGCTTTTGTTTTTCAAATTTGCTTTCTTCTGTTACTGTTCTTCAGTAAACTTTAAAGTTTTTGGTTTTTGGAGGTTTTTTGTTTTGTTTTTGTTTTGTTTTTAGAGACAGACAGTGGGGCCGGGGGCAGAAAGAAAGGGAGAGAATCTTAAGCAGACTCCATGCTCTCCATGGAGCCTGACTCAGGGCTCAATGCCATGACCCCAAGATCATGACCTGGGCCAAAATCAAGAGTTGGTCACTTAACTGACTGAGCTATCCAGTCACCCCAGTAAACTTAAAGATTAATTAAGTTAGCTTTCCAGTTTCACAAATTTTGCTATTTGGCTCTATTTTTATTACTTACTCAACTCTTGTTTAAACTATAAATATTTGATGATTTTGCATGCAAAGTGACAGGGGTTAAAAAAAATGTCACTGTTGAGTCCTCGGTGTGTGGCAGTCCATATCTCTCTTGTCCCTAAGGATAGATAATGTGCTTTATTTCTGTGTTAATAAGAATGATTTGGCATTATCAGTGAGTGTTTCTGTTAGTCAGGGTTTCTGGTTAATAAAAAAATGACATTGTGATACTATGGAATCAAAAGAATAATGAAAATAGGGGCACCTGGGTGGCTCAGATGGCTGAGCCTCAGGCTTTTGATTTCGGCTCAGGTCATGATTTCAGGGTCCTGGGATCAAGCCCCGCATCAGTCTCTGTACTCAACAGAGAGTCTGCTTAAGATTCTTTCTTCCCTCTCTCTCTGTCCCTCTGCCCCCACCTTCTCTCTAAAATAAATAAGTAAATCTTGAAAAAATACAAAATAATGAATATATACTTCTAACAATGGAAACTTATTTTAATGATTCTAAAGGTCTTTCAGAATCTTGCTTTATATTAAAGTTTACCTCATTGTTTATCAGTTAAAATCGTATATGGAAAATGTTTGAGAAGCGCTTAAAGAAAATACACTTGGATTATACTCAGATTCATTGAAATTCTAGGTCTAAGTCATGTGAGCTAAGAATGGAGAACATTCTCTTTCAGCGTGAAGCTCCAGGCTACTTTATCCCAGAGCTCTAATCTGTAGAGAAATGTAGTCAAAATCTCCTTCTCATAATGAAATGCTTCTGATATCATTAAATGAGTCCCTACACCATATTATTACATAGCATATTTTGTGTATTTTTATCACTGTACTTGTACATTGTCTGGCAATTTCCTGTTTGTATATTCCTCGAGTGCTGAGACTTACTCTTCTCTGTATCTTCCCTTCTGACCCTGTGATTGGGATGGCAAATCTTCATCACTCCAATAGGTTTTGTAGTATATTGGAGACATGGAGGACAATATTTTATTTAATTTGGATGCTCTTGAAAGAGTTTAAGGTGATGTTGCTTATTTATGGAGTTTAGTTTTTAGTATTAAATGTAAATAGTGTCACGGCACCTTTGGAGTTGTGGTGATGCTCACTTATTTTTGGTCTTGCGTAGATGAGTGTTGATCTGAGAATTTTTTTGTGTGAGTCTGGTTCATTACTATGGTATAGAGTAGCATTTCATTTTTTTAGGATGCTTATGACCTTGTTAAATAGCAGTCCAAAAATCATGTGGCTTGTTTTGATTTTAACCAAAGTTACAGCTGCCTAGCTGTAAAGCAGTCAGTTTCTCTTATTATGACTAGTTCTTCAACTTGTACTGTTTTAAATTGCCGGCAATTAGCATATTTCAACCTTATTTTTAGGTTTAAATTGCAGTGTGAGAGTGTACTCTCCTCTTAGCTAATTAGTGCTATCAAGGAACAGTAGGTTACCTCATTAGTACCATGTGCATTTAATTAAAGAAGAGAAAATTGGAGTTAACCTCATAGTTAATATTTTCACAGAGTGCTACAATGCCAACACCTTCAATTGGAGTCACACCCCTGTGTATCTAATTATGCACTGGTGCCAAATAAGGTTAGCAAGGGTACTACAAGGCTGTTGACAAAATAATTTAGATGAAAACGTGTTTGTTGGATTCTGACAGTAAAATACAACTTGAACGTTTTTTTCCCCCATAGTTCTCATCTGCCAGCATCAGGTAACATACTTACTTCTTCGTAGGAAACGAAAGGAAAGGACTATTTTGGAAGCCATTTTTCCTGTTTGAATTAATGTTGCTCTTATCTTGCAGAAAATGGCATATAGCCATGTAAAGCATATACAATCTGTTTCTTAAACAGAGACCCTGAACTTCAGAGATGTATTTGAAAAGAATTATTTATAAGATGTAATATTTACATGCATCAAACTACTACAAATACTCCCTGACACCCCTACCACATCCCTCCTTGCTTTTCTTCTTTTCTGATATAATTTCCCTTGTGTATCTTATGAATGGGGATCATCCTTTCATATCATACATGAAGTCTAAGGATGTGTTGTCACATGGTCTATTCAAATGCAGTGTAATCCTTTTGCCCTTCAGACATAATCTTTGAAATGTCTAATGCTACTTAGGTAAAAAATGACATTCCATGTCATTTATCAATAAATAATCACTTTGCTTTTACAGATAAAAATGCAAACTATACATTTGAGTATATAGAGTAGTTCTCAATACGAGTGGCAAAATTCAACAGGTTATTTAACTGAGGGTATAGAGTTTGGCTGCATAGTCTCAAATATATATTTGGTGGCAGTGTTTGCATTATAGAAATGTGTGGCCAAGGCAGTTTATTTTTTTTTTATTTTTTTTTAAAGATTTTATTTATTTATTTGAGAGAGAGCATGAGCAAGGAGAAGGTCAGAGAGAGAAGCAGACTCCCTGCGGAGCCGGGAGCCCGATGCGGGACTCGATCCCGGGACTCCAGGATCATGACCTGAGCCGAAGGCAGTCGTCCAACCAACTGAGCCACCAAGGCGTCCCATGTGGCCAAGGCAGTTTAAAGAGATTCTTGTGATTATTCTCACACTTCATGACAAGCCAGGATTTATGTTCATTTGTGTTGGTTATAGTTGAGTACAAGACAGTAGTTAGCTTTTTCAAAAAGAGGTGATTAAAGTTTTAAAGACAAATGCCATCCCATAAGCTAAAATCACAGTACCATTTAAATTTATAGGAGTATTCATTAACATTGGCCATAATTTTAGCTTGGAAATGGGAAATGAGATTCTTGAGTCAAGATCACGGTAGACCATGGAATTTTTTGGTTAGTGGTTAATTATGTTCAAATATTCAACTTTGCATCTGCCAAGTTATTTTTATTTTTTAATTCTATACTATTATTAACTGTGACACAAAGATGGAATAGTCTCATCTATATTCACCTACCAAGATAATTTTCCAAAAATATTTTTTATTAAATGATAATGTACATTATTAGCATAAGCCTTAAGATTGGAGGGGGAAGAAGCCAACTCCTGATTCTCTTTGTTTAATCTAGGAATTGCTTCCAGAAACAAAATTATGTGTCTGTGGCCACTCTTCTGGTGATGGGCATCCTCACAACACATTTGCAGTAAGTTACACTGGGCAACTAGAAGTTCAGCTACTAAGCACAAAGCCATAGACTCAATACCACAAAGTAGATTATCTGTGATTTTCTATTAGCCACTCCCTTTCATTGATGAAGATAATCAGAGATGATTAATATGAAGATATCAATGTAATTAGCTGGTTTTCTGTTGCTTCTTGTATTCTCTCTTCAATTATATTTCATCGTCTATACACTTCACTGTTTCTGTGAGTTGATGGCGTTAAAATTTACCTGAAATATATAAAGGCATATGGTTGATTCACCACTATACTTTTCTTGAACTTTTAGGAATCACTTGATGAGATAGTGTTGACATGAAAAAAAAATAAAGATTATGAATAGATACAATACATATTTACATATTTTAGGGGAAACTTGCTGTTCCATGTCTGCAAGTTATCATATAAATATGCCAAGGCCTTTTTTTAAATACATATTCTGTCACTAGAGTATAATTTGTCTCTTTAGACTATAATATTCAATGAAAATTGCTTTCGTGACCCAATTCACATACCAGTTAGCCTTGGAAATGAATAACAATCCTGAAGTGGCCATTCAAGAATTTTTAATAGAGCAACTTTATGTTTCCATTTAGCATGGTTACTACCTGTATTCTTAAGGAATCTTTAAATATGTAAGTCATATATTTTTCATATATAGAATTTTTACTTGTTTCCTTAAGAATTGAGGTGTTTAGTTAATTTCCATGGACTAGAGTATTCCTAAATTGGCTCACACCCCCAAATGTTTTAAGATGCTGTACATAGTATTTCTTAATTTATAGTTGATAGAACACATCACAGTTAAGATTTTTATAAATAAATAGTGTCTTCCTGAATAAAGAAGAAATTTCTAATTTCATACCTTGGTTAAAAAAAAAAAGGCTTTTCTCAATAAAAAATAGTGTCAAATTAGTATGGAATGCTATTCTTTGCGGAAAATATACAAACATAAAGCCTTTTAAAAATTGTTTGATTCAAACAAAAATCGTGGAAACAACATAACATAGACTATTTTATGGAAATAGTGAATGCAGAGAATTGGTAATGAATTTTGTACATTAAAACAGGTTTTGCAATGATTTGAAGTTATGTATTTTGGGTTTCATTCATTTTAGTTCTGCAGTGTTTGTGCCTCCTGAACTTTCTTGGCAATAGTAACATCTGAAAAAAAGTGCCAGAAATTAAAAAGCAGTGGTAAGTTTTGCTGGAATGATGTAAATTTAGGTGAAAGACTAAACTAACCTAATTTTCTAAGTATTTGCTCTATATTTTGAAGGGAGATGAATTTAAGATAAACTTCAAAAATAACTATATACTTTAACTTATTAATAAATATTCATCCAAAAATATACTTTTAAGAAAATGGTGCATTAAAAATGGAAAAGGCAGTATTTCTAATTGGTAACACTTTTTTCTAAAATAATCCCAATGGAAAAATTGTTTTCATTAGACTGAAGAGTGAGCTGACTAAACTACTAATAGTGTTTGTTCTTTATTTAAAACTACTTCTACCAGTATAAAAAAATTCTCTATTCTACTAATGTAAGAATAAATCTATAGCATCAGATCTTTATATTTTCACTGACATGTTTTCAGAATGAAAACAAACCACAGAGAAATTAAATGACTTAACCATAGGCCATTTAATTCCTCAATGGCAAGGCTGAATTTGTAGCCCAAGTCTATGATCATCAGTGTTTTGGTCTTATCAAGGATATGCCAGATTGTTCGTGGTTGCCTTGAGGGCTGTGTTGAATGGGAGTCTAAGGTTGTTCTGTGTGTCAGGATTGTGGATAGTATCTGGGACAGGAAGACTACCAGGATGAATTAGTGAGGTCTGTTGTGGCTGATGGGGAGAGGGAGTATAAGTGCATACCAGGTATCTCCTATCCCTATGGTGTACCAAACTTAATACTTTAGACTAGTCACTGAGTGACTCTGCAAATGATGCCTCCTGACTTCACAACACTAGGGAAACACTAAATACTAAGTAGGTACTTATTTTCTTTTATTGACTACTTTAGATATAAGCTTTCTGCAGGCTAAAGTGGCTAGTGGGATTTAAAATCAAAATGCAAACTAAAACAGATGATATCTATTATTCACAGTTGACAATGTCTATGCAATGGACATTGCTCTCTTTTAGTATTTAGTATATTTCGTAAGTACCAGTACTCTGAGATGGTACTCAACTAAGCTCTGGAGCACCATGAGATAACTGGTGGGCTAAATGGAAGAAGAGTGTAGAAAGTATACATACAGGTCTCTAAAGGCAGCCACATTCCTTTATAATCTATTTAACTGAAGTGTGTAATAAATTGTGAATCACTGTAATAATTCTGAAATCTTTTTTTTTGTAAGATTTTATTTATTTATTTGTCAGAGAGAGATAGGGAGAGCACAAGCAGGCAGAGCGGCAGGCAGAGGCAGAGAGGGAAGCAGGCTCCCCACTGAGCAAGGAGCCTGATGCGGGACTCGATCCCAGGACCCTGGGATCATGACCTGAGCCGAAGGCAGCGGCTTAACTAACTGAGCCACCCAGGCGCCCCTAATTCTGAAATCTTTAAGAGATCATATATCCCTATCAGTGGATTAATTTAATATCACACATATTACTTCCATGGTTGATCAACCTTCACAAAGAAAAAAGCCAAATTTTTCAGGCAATTGTTCCAAATTGGGAGATTAAATTACTTTTTATTCCCTCCCTCTTAACTTCAAAAATAAAAATCCTGTAAGTTTATTTAAAAGCTGGAAATAAAGTGCCATAAATTTCAGAGAAAAGCCACTTAACAATTACGAAAAGTAGGTTAAAGCTCAAATTCCCTTAAGGAAATAAGTAATATTACATATTTCATATTAAACTGATGTCAGATGCTCTCCATCATACCATCCTCTCCCAGGCATTTCTTCCATCCAGTTCCCAACAAAAGATACAATAAAAATATATTTCAAAGAAGCATTTTCTGGTGTTTTAACATGCAAGTAGCCATCAGACATTAGCTGTCATCTGAGTATTGTGCTTCCTTATTAGCACATTGTTGAACAGTAGTCATATATTTATATATCCAACAATAGATTATATTTATTGTGCCTTGACTAATTTATAGCAATACAGGGTAGCAATTGTGCTCCCTTATATCATCCCTACCTGAAAATTATAATCTTAAATTCTATATACCTGTTGTTTGGTCTCCACAGGTTGTATGTTTAACATTCTAAGAATAATGACATAATATCCTTATTGTAACTTTGAATTTTATAAGGAAAAGCTTTAAGTTCTGGCTTTAAAGGAAAGAGTGTGAGAGTAAGAGAGCTTCTTTATGAGAGATTACTTTTCAATACTTCCTTTTCATACTCATTTTTTTTTCAAATGGTATATATTTAACTCTCATCTGGAAAAATCTTCACTTACTTTACTTTGCTTTCAGATGTTAGTTATAAGATAGGTGCTTTTCCCCCCCCTCATGATATATCAAGCAGCTTTATGAATGGCTAACTGTCAAGATCCTGAATTTCCTTCCCTACCACACAATAGTAACCCAAGTTCACTCCCCAATAACAAGACCTTGTTGACACCTCATCTGTCTGAATGGCCTCATTAACATCTACCTGCAGATAACCTTATTATTAGTCTTGCCTACAGGTTTTTACACTAAATGAATACTATTTTACATAGGATTCTGCCCGTTAGCTCCAAGTGCTAAGGCAATTAAGTGGAATGCTTAGAGTCTTTGTCTTTTGGGTATTATTTTCAAAACATTTAGCATTGGGTCAAATGAGTATTTTGATGAATAAAACTTGTTGGACCTATGAAAAAATGAAACTTGCTGGCCTTGGTCCAGTTGGTTTATGACCCATATAAATTACATTGCGTTGATCACGTTGAATCTCCCCCCTACAGATCTTTATTCTGTTTTGATTACCTCCTGAATGTTTTATTTCAATGAGAATTGTGGGTTGGAGGAAATAAGAAAAGAGGAGAGTGACAAATTTTTTTTAAGATTTTATTTATTTGACACAGAGAGAGAGAGAGAGAGAGAGGTCATAAGCAGGCAGAGAGGCAAGCAGAGGGGGAGGGGGAGGCAGAGAGCCCAATGTGGGGCTCTATCCCAGGATCCTAAGATCCTGACCTGAGCCGAAGGCAGAGACTTAACCCACTGAGCCATTCAGGCACCCCAAGAGTGACAGTATTTAAGAATCACTTAATTTCTATCCAAATTTATCTCTCTTTTTAGTCTTTACACGAATTCTACCCCGCAGCAAATCATCTATCCCATGGGCTCTGGAATCATCTTTCTAGATCGAATATTGGACAAATTACTTACATTTTTTAGCTTCATGCTCTCAATCTGTAAAATTAGGATAATAATAATCTACCTCATAGTGTGGTAATGGGGATTAAATTTTATAATTGGAAAGTAGTTAGTGTGATGACTAACTCATAGTGTGCAGTAGATATTCAAGTCAGTAGCTGTAGTACCATCAATACACTCTTGGTTGGACTAAAAAGGCAATTCTGTTTGATGTAAATTTAAGTGCATATTTGGTATTAACACTAAATAAGCATTAGGCATTGCACCTTGAAGCATGACTAAGACAGATGGAAATGTTCCTTAATGAGAGGAAAGTCTTTATATTCATTAATTTACATTAAACACTGACTTATTCACTCACAAAAATCAGTGTTGTCCAAATGTTTTCTGATTTGTTAAGTGGAAGATAAAGAATCCTTCCTCACCAGATCTAAATGAGGTCCTCTGGCAGCCAAGGAAAACCATTGCCAAAGAAGATTAGGAAAAGTGATTGTACCCCTAATTGTTTGTATCCAGCTAGAGCACACCAAGATATGAAGTTAGGATATACATAGATGGGGCAGTGCCAGATTACCTCCAGTGTTTTTTCTTCCTTACCTATTTTAAATTTATTATCAGAGATGAACCAGGAGTTAAAGGTAAATTACTATTGATTGATAGTATT